GTCTTATTGACCCCAAAACCCGATGACTTGGATGGATTTTTGATCAGAAACCATGAATTGTTCTGACTCACCCCGACCTCGAAGACCTCCCTATTCTCTGCCAATAAAGCCCACTCATCAATTCTGCTGAAAGCTTAACTTGGCGTTACCGTAATGGGCTGCAGTCTTGTGACTGAACCCATACTACTGTAGCGCCATCTATGCCCCGTTTAGAAGAGTGTAAGTAACAGTAAATCAAGGAAAAATAACGAGAGAAATAGTAGAAAATTGCAAAATAGTTCAGAGAGATCATGTAAAGTAGAGAGCCCTCATTTCTTTATTTTGAGAGAACTTTGGATTTTCGCCTTAAAAATTTTCGAAAATACAGTATAATGATACACCTGTATATGGAAACTTTGTATTCGCGTTTCAATTGAAGGTCATGGGCAGAAATGTGTGGTATGAGAAATGAGTCTATGGGGTCCGTGTGATTACCAGCCATGGCTGTCAGCTGATCAAATCCAAGAACGCGTTACCCGTCTAAGTCATCCAACTTCTCCATCGTTCCAGGGTTGTTTGGTTTAAAGGCACAGTTCGCGATGAAAGTGGTTTCTGAGTTTCCCCCACAGGATGAATTCGAGGCTACCGCGTGTAGCATAACTGGCTCTATTAGCTGGAAACGGCCTAGTCAGGGAGTTGTAAAGGCTCAAAGATTGGCACGTGAGTATCCTCGGATGAGTTTCACCGGCATTGTGGAGGTTGCATCGATCACAAGGGAACCCATGTAGGAAGTTCAAACAACTTGTCATGACTCACAGTGACAGTGAAAGACAGTTCTGTACAGTTCTGGTGCAATTGCAATAACTGAAATCTCGTCCGAATAACCTTCCGATGTTATTTTCGTCATGGCAATCTCGTCCAACCTCTATTTTCCCTTCTTTTGAGAAACCATATTTTTCTCCAAACCGGCGAATTCCCTCGCCTTCTTGACTACCGATGAACTATTCCCAATCTGTACTTCGGCTTTTCGAATAAAAACGGTTACCGCAGAATTATCGTGAACTGTGCCTCTAAGCCAACAATAGGTCGGAGTAGAAAGGCCTCATATTCCTTACCCTCTAGACAGCTGTTGGAATGAATAATGAAGGGCAAGTTATCAGTGACACACTAGAGGGTAATGTCACGGACATCAGACCTGTGATGCCACCAATTAGTCAAGGCAAGAAAAAGTTAAGTTCCCCCATGTTCATGATGAAGGCATTCTCAAGCCTAGACCTGAGCAATCGTAGTCCAAACTTCGGCGGTAGCCAATTTGATCAGTCTGTGTTGCTGAGATTACGGCAATAAGAAAGTTATAGCTTATACTCGACAGCAATAATTAATCCACTTACGGAAATTGAATACCAAATTGGATGTGCCCGACCAAGCATGGGACGCCATGAGAGCATTGTCGCCAGTCTATAAACGCTGTCAGTGAAAAATTACAATTCGGTTGATAAGTCCAAGAATCATGTACCTGCCCCTATAGGTGTTTTCCTGTGGCTTTCCCATTTTGTTTTGTTCGTCATTTCTTTTCGAATCATTTTTATCGGGTATGGTGCAGTGGGAACGAAATCGTCGCGTCGCAGCGGGAGAGATGCCGCGCGCGAAGGAATGTAGCAGAATACTGTAGCAAGTAAGAAATGAAGGAACAAAAGAAATAGCGGTAGAATCATGACAAAAGTAGTAATCGCACAGCGATTGAGCTGTATGAAGAACGCTAGAATCGCTGTTATAATGAGGCAAATGGTCCGCGACAGCCGCGTGCGGCGGATCGATTACACACAATCGTTCCTAATACCCGTCTCCCAGTTTTGTCCACTACTTACCAGAATGGCATTTCTTATTATACATTTAATAAAGGAACAAGTCTTGTAGCGTTGATTGATCCCTTTCTTATTGTGCGCCCTGCATTCGACTTCCGTTTAGAATCTTGGTTTGTATGAGTCTGTGGGCTGGACGATGAATTGCAGTGGCTAGCCGATGCTCAAATCAGTGCCTATTGTCTAGACGGGTCTATTATCTATTAAGCGCACTGGAAAAATGAAAGACTTAGTTTTCCTGAGCAAGCATCGATCTGGGATTCGATCCTAGATCAAGTCCGTGTTAGTACAGTTTATAGCGCGCTATTTGCCACTACACCACATTCGAATTAGGACTGGCGGCAATAGAAAAAAAATTAAAAACCCCAGTTGGTTTAAGGAAATTGCAAGGAAATGGTCTTCACATAAGTAGAAGAGGTTGCTCGATAAAAGCGACGACCCCATGAGAGAGTGTTTCGAGGTTGCGCCAAGCGCCAAATTTCGTTTTTTTNTTTTTTTGAAAAGTCCTCACTCTCCCCGACTACGTATGTTACCAGTAACTGACTAACTAAATGCTATGGACTTCTAGTACGGAATAACTTCTATTTCTGTAGCAACCAATCACTAGGCAACACTGAAATAGGCTTGATAGCAATCTTTGGATGAGTTGCCGAACCGGTTCTTGTTACTTGAGTAGGTTGTACAGCCTTTGATGACATCAGAATTTTGCATCCTAAAACGTCCTTTCTATCTTCTCACAATAAGAAGTTCGGTTCTTCCCATACTAGTTGGTAAGCACAAATTCATTGAAAAATATAAATGCAGCCATGCATTCAAAATTATTTGGAATTCTGATTTTACTTTTTTAACTTAAAAACCGCTCCGTAATGGACTGCGTCAGTAGAGTCGCTTCACCCGAATATTCTTTCAGCAGAAACTAGCAAACGGTCTTATCGAAGGAGTTTCTTCCTCGGTTTCTCGTTTTGTTCATGATAACGGGTCATTTCAAGGATTCGAAGATCAAGTTCCAAAAAAAAGACTTTGAGAGCTTCTTCCATTCTGGCCCTCGAAGCACTTCAAATTTCCTGATTTTTCCTTTCGAATCCGTCAAAAGCCTTCAGGAACGGCGCTTGTGCTTGGTTTTATCATAGGCCATATAAAGAACTATTCCAAGGATGGTAGCGGCCCCAGCAAGAACAACGGTTCTCGTTTCCCTGTAGCAGTCGTCACACATGCTCGGCAAATAATGAATTCATCGGTGAGTAACTGTAGCAGATTGATGGCCCAACTAAAGCCTCATCAGCAATGATCGATCTTGAGCAGTAGTATTATCACATATCCACCAGTAATTATGGAGAAGTTCAAGCATGAGATCCGTATAGCTCGGTCTGTTCCATTGGCCACCCAAATGAACTGAGGATGCTAAATCAGACATCTCTCATGGGCTTTGCAACAAGTCGGTTTGCTTATGCATTTACATCAACATCGATAGTCTTCATGCTATCTGAATCCCTAACTAATTGATTTACTAAGCTAGCCTTGCAGCCTCATATTTCTGCAGCTCAAATTGCCACCTCTATCATGACTAGGGCTTAAATACTGCTATATTGATCAGAAATTCTTTCGTACTCAGATCACAAGAACGCCTACTCATGAGCACAACATTCGTCTTCTTCTGAGATCGGTATCTGGTTAAATGACTTTCGAGAAACGTGCTTATCTTTTACGCTGAAAATACGCAACCAGTAATCAAGATCAGGCACAGCACCACAAAATAGCCCCTCAGAAAGTTTCCTTTCGAATTGTCTTCCAAAAAATAATTTTCATCCTTTCATCAATCTAAAGAGCATATGGAACGATTCAAGTTGAACTACCCTGAAGCTTCTCCAATCGCTTAAAGCAGCTCCTGGACCTTTTCGCCCAGGGTAGTTGACGGCTATGATTCTGCTACGGTACTATACATATGCTTAATCATATTGATGTTTGTAGCTCCTTTTTACATGTGATATAAATAAGCAGCTCCGATGAAAGCCTTTTATGAATTGTTCCCTATACTATTACGGTAGGGGCTGGGTTGGTGTAGTGGCAAATGGCGTACTGTCACATCGCACGATCTCTGGTTGGAATCCCGAAAGACCCCTAGGCCAACACACCTTCCACCCCTCCGGGCTTAGTACCGGACTCGTCTGGGAGGGTAGAATCACTGATCTGTGCATCAGGTGGGCACCGCAGATCATTGTATAAGCCACATATGCATTCATTACGCCACTACACGCCACTACGATTCTGAATTGGAATCAAAAGCGGATGTGCGTCTTCCAGGTTTGATTGATCAGCACTGAAAGACTTTAACCTCTATCCTCTTACATGTGTGACTACTGTAAAAAAATCGATAAGCAAAGGATATATTGCAGCTTCCGAGCAGCACTTTAACCTTCTCCGAACTGATGTAGTCTAGTAACTATCATAGTAATCTACCTACGTCAATGTAGTTTTTGATCAGCACTACGTTCCATCTAATCCTGCGGTTATGATGCATTATCTGAGGAAATGTTTAATTCTGGTTTATGGAAAACTTTCGACTATTACTTTTAAATGTTAAATTGTATCTGTTAAAACGTCGACATTAATCGCCTCTGACATTTTCTGGAAAATGGCTCTTCTTATGCCGTATTCATAAACAAAAAAGCTCAAATGAGGCTTGAATACGAATTGTTGGGTCTTCATGTCGGCTCTAGGCTTGCCGTCCAAGACATTACACCACTGGGAACTTATCCACCTTCTTCGACGACGCGTCCAAAAAGGTAATATCATTGAAAAGTCCCTACAGTGTAGTACGCGCTTCACTACACTTTCAAAGGGAGGCGAGTGCATGGCGCACTCCAATCAGTACCAGTGGTCTGCGCTCATCCCATTTGGCCTATGAGCTATATTTCAACAGATTTTGCTTCAATACAACCGAAATAACTTATTTTTGAATGTCTGTCTGTGATTGTTCAGCCACCCACATGTCCGTTAGTGATTTTGTCGCCAACGAGCTACTCTGCTTCATTTCATTTCCTCGTTCGTTCACTATCGTCTTGCAGACAATTGCCACTTTGAGCCTTTCTTCTAGCACATGCAGTATAGCGAGATTCTTAAAATTAAAAGTCACTACTACTACGATTTTCAGATGACGTAATGCTGTCGTCGTCGTTTGTGGAACACGCTGCCCTTGGCTTTGCATTTGCGGTACTATCGTTGTTCGTTCTAGCGTTTGCTATCATCGCCGTCGTACTCGTCACCATTACCAACAACTGTTGGTGGAACTGTGGTGAGTGATTTCTGTCCTTGGTATGCGGCGGCATTGAATGGGCCCGTACCTATAAATTGGGGTAGAGGGAAGGGGGGGGGAGGGAATGTAGAATCACTTTCGTTTAGGTGGGTGGTCCACTTGTTCAGCAGAAGCGCCAAACAGCACGCTCTGACGAGGCCTATCTCCCACGCCGGTCGCTGGCCCACTTCCTTATGGGGATGGCATCACGTTCAGACCTAAGAACACACTCTCGTAATAGGACGGCAACACATGACTCTGTAGTAAGTAGTGGTCCCTAGAGAGAAGGACGAATACCCTTAATTCCACCTCCCCACTCTCAAAACTAGTATTGTACTGAGCGGGGGGGGGCAAACCGTACCGTGCTGAGCTTGGAACAGCGAAATCCCTCCCAAAAGTATGCCACCGCAGAAGATGGTCCGAGTTTCCTACCGTTGTCAAGCGAGCGAGCGAAAGCTAAAATAGCTTGAAGATGGAAAAAAGAAAGAAAAAGGAGAGAGAGGGAAGAATTCCTATCTTTTCTGTCCCATAGCTATAGATTTCGTTTTCTTCGAGCCGTTTTTTGCTGCTTGTTTTCCACTTTTGCAAACAAGCGTGTGACAAATTTGCATTCTTTCAGCATTCTGCATTCTTCTAGCAGTTTTTTAATTGGGAATGGTGGGGTGATTATGTGAATAGCATGTAATGAGACCCTGCTGTCAAGGCAAGCATGCACTGAGCCAACAATCTGTTCGAAATTGCTAGATTTGCTGTGATGTGAAGGGAGACTGAGTTGTATGGGTGATTCTGACTAATAGAGCTCAGAGAACCGTGAGAAATAAGCTCACTTCATTAGAAGGATTATTTGCTTGAAAGAGGAGCGGAAGGGGCTCAAGGTGGTTCTAGTTGATAAAGGAGGGGCAAGACTGAAGTTCACCTTGAATGTTTCTTGAAGTAACAGGTTGTCAAAAATTCCCGACCAAGCCGATGATGGGCCAAATTTGGCCTCGAAATCTGCCACTATACCCTAGAAATCCACAGTTCCTGCAGCTATTGGATATGCGTACATAGTAGTAGTACCGGGTCACTTCTCAGGTCCCAACTTTAGGCTCCCACTGCTATTAAACGGTAAGAGCTCTTAAATCGGGAGCATGGAATAAGAATCCACGAATTCACTGAAAAGCAATGGGGAAATTCCTCTCAGATAACGCTCCCTGCTGTTTGGCGGCATTACTTACTCTAACAAAGTTAGGTTACAACATATAATGACACCATTGACATTTGTAAGTAAAACTACAAAATTTGATTTTCAGATTCCGAAGGCGATCCCCTGATGGAGGACTACAATACATTATTCCCCGGAGATGAGGAGGAGTGTGAAACCGGAAATCTCGAGCCGATCGATACGGTGATCGGGAACACGCCACGGAACGCGGATATCGTCTGAGAATGTCCTTCAACCCAACCCATGGGGCTCAATTAAGGGCAGCGCTAGGGGTACAACACAAGAAATCATCGTCTCAGAATAGAAGCTCTCTTTTGATGTGTCTCTGTGAGATTCAATTTAGCGCTATTGTTTAACGACGAGCACGACTCCGAGCCCGAATTGTCTTGCACCCTCCTGGCTCGGATATTCATGTTGTCATCATTTTTTTCTCCTCAATTTATTCTGTATGTTTCGCTCGTTTTGCTGTATTATGTCTGCCTTTATTACCGTTTTTTACTGTGTTATTACCGTATTTTACCGTATTTCCGAGTTCCATATAGACTGGTATGAAACTAATTTTGAGACCCGGATCCAAACTGAGATCCAACCAACAGGTGCAAATAATTTTTGTTAACCATAGACTCAATTCTGGCTAGAATATGAATAATCCCATCTTTTTCACTATTGCAGATAATATCCTGGTGGAGTGGGTGGTCCGGTGAGTGTTTTCCGTGCAATATTTGCTTTTGACGACGACCACAGGGAGCCGCAGCTCTTCGATGGGGCTCCGCGATTTTCCGTATTCGATGACAGTTCATTCAATGTACCACCTTCCCATCCATCAGAGCCTCTTGCACATCCGCCAATACATATTCTTATTGATGTTTCGATCCATTTTATCGATTTTCTCGATAACCACCTCTTTATGTCCACATATGTCCCATCTATCAACTTGATTCGCTACTGATCGACTTTAGCTCCAGTACTTTATCGCTCTAGAGAATCATCACCAACAGTGCTCTTTAATCTGTTTTTGAAAAATTTTTGTTTTAATAAAATTAATTTATATTAACTATGTTATCACACTTGTTAGAGTTTGTGGTTAAGGCAATGAGATAAGGAAAGAGAGGACACGGTGGTAAGCTGTCTTGCCCTTCAGTGGCTTTGGTAAGAGGGGCTGCTATCGTCTCTATGTGCCGAGGATCAATTCCTCTACGCACTACCAGTATTCCATGCCTTGCTCGATTCAATATTCAAGAGTAGTTTATCAGACATTCGAACGAATAGCCGTCACAGGATTGAAATACCTGATCGAATACCTCCATGACTATGAAATGAAATTGGAACCATGGCGGATCCCAGAATTGCAATCCCATGATCTACGGATTGCCATTTTCTAGTCCCAGTGAATCCTTGTGAACATGAGTTCCTCATTAATTTGATGAGATACCAGAGGATTAAGGGATTTCGGATCATTCAGGTTCAGGGTAGTGCAAGGTGAGGATTTTCAGAAGTTATATTCATTGCAATCGGAAGAGACACTGCATTCACGGGAATATCACATTACTTTTCCTCTGCATGAAACTCTCCTCACAGATGTCTTGTGGAAGGTTCTGGTAGCCTTGAAGCCTATTCTTTCCTGCTGACGCAAACACCTCTAGGGGAATGAAGATTGCCACTCAATTAGAGAAGCCTTAGGCGTCAATGCAGAAAGGAATCCATTGAAGGCGATACCCAAGAAAAAAAAGCGTCATCAGGGTGAGTAACACTTCGCTGCTGGAGAAGCAGAATTTCTTGAAGAAGCTGTCGAATTCCCACTGATTCGACGAAAGTCAAAAGAAGTGGTGAAATACTCTGAGGGATCAGATAGGATCCTGGTTCCATCAGTGGAACCAGAGCATGGAACTACATATGGAACTTGCTGCAACTACAAGAATGGAAGAGCTTGAGCTAGAAAGCACCCGATTGAAGAATTCTGCGAAACTACCATTCCCAGTAGGACTTTTGATCCTCCCAGTTAAAGGTTTTTCTGAAGAAAATTTCTACCGCTTAAACCACCACTTCAGCCTGACCCGCTATGAGGAGTAGACCAGGTAGACACATAGTGATTCCCATCAGTACCGAGATATGGGCCTCCTACTGCTGTTGTGAGGTAGCCAGCAGATGTGGGCCCTAAACCTTCAGTTCCAACTTCAACCTCCACTTTCAGAGTTCATTTATGCAGGGAATACAAGTGCTATGCGTTATCATTTCATGCTGCTTGCAACCATCTTTGGTTAGGTGACTCCTTGAAATAACATTCCGCCTATTAGAGGACCTTCTCAGCGATTTCCCACTCTCTAGTCTATCAGGTGGCCAAGCGGGAGCTCGGGCGTCAGAGGCTATCAGCATAACGCACCAATCGTTTCCTCGAACTATAGGTCTACAGTTGTAAAAGACAACGACATTTTCCTCATGTTTCACTTCCGGAGATCGCATAAGTTCTAAAAACAGTAATGTAATAGTTTTTGAGGAATTGTCGGAATTGTTCGGCCATTAAAAAGCCTTCTCAACAAATCGTCACCATTAGGTGGATTTCGACATCGTTCCTTTAAAGGCAATCACTTGTTCACTCTGTAAAAACTACTATAAATAGCTACGATCGTCGCCCCTCTGAACGGCTCATCTCCAGTGGCCGAGGGACGGAGTGCTTCTGCATGAGAGCACTGTTTGCTCAGCCACTAAAGCTGTTCCAATCGTGAGTAGAAGCTCATTCGATCCGCTACGAGGAATTAGGGTGTTTTTGGGATGCGATGTAATTTTGTTGAGAAAAGGATTTATGGGTGGTCTAGAAACCAGAAATGATTTTTTGTATGCGATTAAGGCTACTGAGCCTTTAAAGCCTGGAACCGGAGAGGCATGTCCAGCAGCCATGTCCAGTTGGAATTCGTTTCCGAATCAGCTATCCTTGAAACGTTTCGTATTTCGATCACGGTCCCGTCTGATAGTCTACCTATAGGGCTTGAATCCAGCCGGGGTATAAGACTAGTAGGTGGTGTCAAATTATCCCCGCTCCACCATGGCTTCGAAAAGGAGTTTCCCAAGCCAATGTACGTATCGAAAAGAGCAATTTTTCCGATTTCTTTCTATTTTGCTGAAATATCCGCTGTCGATTAGACAGGGCTGCTGAAATCGAGAACTGACGTTATCCCTTAGTTCACAAAAATTTGTTGATACCGCTTGAATCTCTTGTTGGTCCACGAGATTCTTTTATTCAATCTATTCACGGTATTCAAAGTGTGTTTGTTTGACCCTTTGTTCTTGTGCTGATGCGTAGACAAGGGTTCATTTTTTGTGCAAATAGCCTACGACGGTAGTTCGGGTCCCCACATGGGAGTTGAGTTTGTCGCCTAGCTGATCAACAGTTTATAAAATTACTCTTAATCATTTATGAAGGATACTTTGAACAGTATCGATGGCAGCTAATCGGCAAAGCTTCGCCTTCAAGTTCTCACGATTACTGCTCGATATCTCCTAGTTTATTTCTGATGCTCCATTATTTAATGTATAAAATGAAGAACCGTAAGGCCCCTGGTAGGTCAGAATGTTTCTGAATGGAAGTTGAACTCGCTAGCTGGAGAACAAGACATTCGCGTGGTTCCCTTCAATGTTTTCACTTTTCAGTGGGCTTTGTAAACAGAAATTTGGAAGTAGCTGATCGACCAGATAAGCTTTCATCTCCTCCCGTCGATTTTCGTTGAGTTACTTGTATAGTCCAAGATCTCAATATTTGCCTGCATGGCGAAGTAGGAAAAAGCTGGTGGTTCGGGGTTGAAGTCAGTTCATTCATCTCGTTACCGACTCGTTACGGCTTTGTCCTAGATTTTCTCTCAAGCAACTCCTTTTTAAATCTTTTTTGCTCTTTAATCTGTCATGATGGCCTGCGTTGGACCTTCTTTATATTTGATCTTACTGAGCGATATGTAAACTCAAGAATTAGCGTCAATATAATCGAATATAAACGAATTTCTGCTGAGAATGAAGTGCAACATTTGAAAGTACTGAATTCATCCCTGTATACGTTCCCATCCCACCTTTAGACAGCTCAAAGTGGCTCGACGTCTCGTTTTTTTTTGCATTGGATTGTTGCGCTTTGGTATATCCCTCACCCACCGTACCAATAGTTTTTGCTTGTCTACCTCTGTCGTAAATGTCTTACCAGTGTGCCTTCCACTTGGAGTGGTGCCAAAATGATGTTTAGCTTTCTTTTCATATCTTGACATAGTCATCTAGAATGCTAGTTGATGAAAACACTTTTGAGATTCACCCATGTCACCTTAATATTTTCTCACGCTCACCTCTTGGGAAGATAGCAAAGTTACTCTCGAGCTCCATTTTTCACTTAGAAAAATCACATTCGAATTTCAGGGGCATTAGGGGATCTCGCGGTTGGCCTGCTCTCCTTCCTGTGACTCATTTGCATTCATTTTCAATGTAAAGTCACAGCAGTTTCGAAAACCTGTCTGTAAACGACAGTCGTGGCTAATTCATAAGAGAGTCATTGGTTTTCTTTTCTTGCATGAGCTTCGCATGGCTTCCACTGTCCTCCTTACCAAGTCGATGAAAGATTTTCAGATTTGTCGTGATACTCCCTGCAATCGCCTCCAAAGCCAGTCTATCGGCTTGTGAAAAACTTCTGGTCATCCCTTCCATCTTGAAGCATGTTCCCTGCTGACGAAAAATCGAGCGTTTCTCGGTTTAGGACTATTTTTCCCTTCAAGCCCTAGTATACCTTATAGTGACTTTATTTTTTAAAACCAAATTGTTGAACTGAATGTAGGATTTGAGAACCCAAAGGTTAATGAACTTTCTTGAGCAGTACTCGACAAAAGTACTCGGTTTCTCCTNGAGAAAAATGTAATTGTTCGCACAGTACTGTCACTGTTACCTACAGGCGTCAAGGCTCCCGGATCAAACCGGAAATAGCTCACCCATAGTTCGGCGAAGGTTCTTTTGCTGAGCAAATACCTCCTTCGCAGGTTTTAATCTCGAAATATTCCCAATCGGAATACTCGATTTTCTGTTTACTTTCTTTTTACTTTCATGTCCGTACTCCAAAATTGAAGGGGTACAGTTGGCTGTAGGTAGCTTTCCTTTTACCAGATGTTGATTTAGCGATTGTTGCAGTAACCGCTCATTGTAACCCATTTGTGAGCTTTCATGCTGTAGTAGTTCATGGTAATTCTGTTCTACGCTAAGCCCTGGGCTCCAACCGCATTCATGACCTCAACGTTTTGAGCCAGGAGCTTCCTTACAGGTCTTCCTGACCGAAGGGTCAAGGACAGGTAGGCTCGATAGGTTGACCAATGTGTTAGGAGCAATCTCAGTCCAATGACGTGGCGATTCACCATCATTTGTAATTCATGATAATATAATTTAATAACTAATAATCACGTAAGCGATTAAAAGCATCATAATCACCTAGTTGATTGAGTAACTATTATTTTTAACTTTTATTGTAATTGTAAGCAAACTGGGCAGTTATTTCTGTGCATGAGTCCACTAATCTTTGAGCTGTCAGCTTCAATGTCTTCTGTGCCTCAGATGGAATCCAAGCTGGTTCATTTCTTTACTGTTGTTATGGACCTCTATTGCATTGAATTCCCTTTCTCCTCTTCTGGTTTCTTGTGACGGCTTGAGTGTTTCGTTGTGGAACTTCTACTTACTTTCTACTTTTTTCAATTTCTATTTCAGATACCTTCGCTCCTTCTACTGCCTTCATCTATAGTTAGCTTCAAAGCCGTGAGTTTTTTCTTTCAGAATTCCTACCGTTTACGGTACAACCAGTTCCCAAAAGAATTCTTGAACAGATATGAGGCCAAAAAAAAAAATTCTGACGGAAGTTCTTGTCATTTGAAGATCTCAAAATTTTATAGTTAAGACGTGATGTATAGAGGGGCTCTAATTGCTCTTGCTTTTCGTCCCCGAAATTCGGAGGTTTCTCCATTGGATTTGTCGTAAGTGGTCCCCTATCTCTTACAAACTCCAAGCAGTCGATTCCTGGTAGTATTGATCTGGCTTTCATACCTACAGTATCAGTTCGTAGTTACCATGGCAAAAAAGACTGACAAAGTTCCCGTCGATACGTTGGCTGGGCCACGTAAACTACCGTATAGACAACGAATCTGTCAAGTTGAAGCCACATTCCGAACAGAACTCATAGATGGCTCACCCCCCAAAAAGTAGGAGAATTTGAAAAACAGGCGGTTCCTTCTTATACACAGCTTTGTTCAGTCTAAAATGAGAAAAGCTTACCAAGAGATGCTCCGATGGAGGGAGAGATCGTAGCCGACGGCGACGTTGAAGTTGGGAAAGCAGATTATGCCACAGAACGAGTGTTCAGGCGAAAAACCCCCACCGCCGCCGTCGACTTGGTGTGTATGCCGGTGTGTGCGTGTGCGAGACCGGTCGGACCGGAATTCGTCAACGGAGCACTCATGCTGCCTTTACCAGACTTCAACACACGCACCTTCACGTTCCGTTAACATCATTTAACACTAATTTGTTTAATTTCATCCCTTAAGGTCCTTGGCCCATTTCTTTCCTGTTTTTTTTTAATATTTCATGGAATCATTTCAAACTTTTACTTCGGCTGGAGTGGGTGACCCCCTCATCTGTTGAGAGCAATTTCACTTCTCTTCCAGTGCGACCGATTTTCGCTACACTATGACCTCGGGCTTCTGAAGTCTTACTGTATCGGAAATCCGTGAAGACCTTACTGTATCAAAAATCTGTGAAGAATGTTGGAAAGAAGCGTAGCCCGGCTCCACAACCTTTTATTTTTCAACGGTTACAATATTACAATCATCAACTGGGTTCATGATTCTATAGTAACCTGCTCGAGACAAATTCTCCCACCCAGAACCCACTACAACTACCTCATATCATGAGAACGGGATCCTTACATCTGTTTACCCAGTTGAACGTAAATGTATGCAAAAAATAAACTCATTCCGGGAATCGGAACCTCTCCTTCCGCTCATCGATTGACTAATGTCTCTAAAAAACAATTTCTGCGAATTTTCATTTTTTTCGTGAAACTTTTGTAGTACTTTGTACCCCACCCAAGTGGTTTTTTTCAGGTACGATGAGTCGATGGGATACTCTTCCGTCGAACATACGCTCAAATCCGACGTACTATCCGTGAGCGAGATACTGTTGTGTAGAAGTGTTGCAACGTTTGTTTTGTGTCATTGGGATTAGTTCGTTCGTCCTTTGGCTGCTGAAGCCTTGGGCTCCCCACTCGTTGAGTGAGTGGGAGCGGCTGGAAGCGTGACGCACTGAACGCACCAGCAAACATTGTGGTTGCGCCAGGTCTTAGCTTCCACGGACGGGTGGATACACGGACCGAATAGAGCTGGAGAATTCCGTGGGAAACTCCAAAAACAGCTGTGCTTTGGACAGAAAAGCAAAAAATGGTCTTCGAGGGAGGAGGAAGGGGCTAGAGAGCGCACGGCGCTCAGAAAATGATCCCTTAGGAATAAGTAGAAGGCTTCGTATAGATATGAAAGGATGTAAATAGATAGATTTGTATTTAGCTGTTCAATGTAGTCAACAATTTTATGGGTAGCCCTTTTTCTGAAAGTTCGCATCTGGGAGCGTCTTTTTGTGGATCCTGGTAAGGAATCACCTACGCAGACAATTTCCTAGGTCAGTAGGACGTTCTGACTTCGTGTCAGGACTCTAGAGGGTTCTACCCAGTATTACCCATTATTTGAGGGCAGAAACTTACCGAAACTGATGGGAAAATCTGATTAGTCCACCAAGTAAGTCAGTTTATACTGGGTGGACTCATAGATTTCATAATTTTGCATCCGGAAGATATTTGAGACTTCCCAAGATGTAGTCGTTAATAGTCACTACCCATGAGGGTTTACTCGGAATCCGCTTGATGTTTTTCAAACCTGATGGATTGGATTACCACAAAATGCCATGGATTATCATTCATACCATCGAAGTGTAAACGACAGAGCGTTCCAAAAAGCAGGTGTGGAACGGGAAATCGCATGGTGTAGTGTCTATCTGTAGTTTTCATTAGTTCATCAATTGTATCTATCGTTTCTCTTGCTGAGCCTGTACAAATCCTCTTTATAACACAAGAAACAAAATAATTTTGTAGACAAAACGCCGCCGCCGACATGTCATCATCAATCCAACAGATTCAACAACAACAGTCGGTTGGGTCCGTAGCCGGTGCTGGACCTGATGAGGTTAGTTTCATTTTCCTACCCCGAATTTATGAATGAAGTGGAATCAAATATAAGGTTGTACAGCACTGAATAGAGTCGCCTGGCTAGTGTCGCCGTGCTGACTTTTGGTGTATGTCATGGCAATGCAACTCGTTGCAACAAAACTGGCTGTCTCTTCCCAGATTTCTAGAGAGTACTGTGTAAAATTACCATATTTCAGGTCTATCAACATGGCACAATAGGGACATTTTTGCGGCAGGAGCTGGAAGGTAATTGCCTATGAACACTTGGTTTATGAAAATAACTCGAAGACTAGTTACTTACATTGAAAAATCAAGTCGTGAGGTTCTAAAAGAAGGGGAGGCTATTGAAGTTTAATGCAGTTGAAACGTAGAGTTGAGTGAACTGAGGCAGAAAGGTTTGAGTCTTTCGGATGCATGATCCGGGAAACGAACCCAGATCGATATCCACTCAGTCCAACCAGACCTTTCATAGCTCGGGTATAGGTTAATTAATTGATAAGAGACTGGTTCGGGAGGATAAAAGCACTAACATGTACACAGGCTGGCCACCGCAAGTCATACTATGGGCCACAGAGCATTCAATACGACTATGAATGGGATTCCAATATGGAGGCTCATCCATCACGGGGTTATCAACTGGTTGGACTGAGCGGATATCGATCTGGGTTCGATTCCCGGATCATGCATGAGTAAAAGTGCACCACTTGCCAATAAATCGCTCCGGCCAATAGGACAGTACATCAGGGAGAAGCTGTGACATTGTTTTTTTTTAAATTTCTTTGTGGAAGATGGTGCTTTACTACACTTATGGGTACGGTATAACCCATGCCCCGTGATAAAAGGGTGCTTTGCTAGGGTTTCTTTGGACGTGTCCAGTGGAGTTCCCCTTTGAAAAACTCAAGAAATTGTAAAATGTAGAATGTAGTTATGTGTGTGTATGATATGTGGATTCGTTCAGTATTGATCTGCACAGTATTCACGAAACACCTCATGCGTATTGATTTTCAGGTGGTTTTTCGAGCTTCATTCGATGTGTCTACAAAGCGAAACGAGTCAACAATAACACTGTTACCTTAGTGTAGGTTGCAGAGTTTTCTATTTATCTTTTGAAGGCTCTATTCTCAGTGCGCGGCATGCAAGTGCAGAGCGAGACAATGGCCAGTACCTCCATCTAGACCGCTGAGCGAACGCTCGCATATGTGTCTTGAAAAGAGAACGTGTTCCAATTTGTGACTAAGGTCCTTCTCAAAGTGGCTTAACACCTTCTGTAGTCCCATCCCGTGAAACTTCTTCTGTAAAATTTCTCTATCAAAAGAACTGCTGATAAAGCTCGCAAAACCTATTATTTGCTTCCTGGGATAGGCTATGCATCTGACTTTTATTCCAAATTGTTGTGATACATAGGACATTTTACAATGCTTTGTAAAGTACCTCGCTCTTCGCTTGGATTTCTCAATTCCCATGGTTTGAGAGACGAGAAAGGACGTGATCCTCTGACTATAAATGTAGTAGCCGCGTCAGTTGTCGCTACCCGATCCGATTGTTTGCTTTTTGGGCTATCTTTTCACCAAGCACCATATCTGGTTGAATTTGTTACTTTTGTTGTATCACGCATAAAAATTGATTCAAATTCAGATGCGAACGCGACCAAGGCTGTTGTGAGCATGGATGTTGCCCGAAGGACCAGCATTGGTACGTTCTTGTATAGACCATTCACATGGTCTTCCCCTTTTCATTCAATTGCATTTTCCACTTGGAAAATACCTCAGCTGATTGCTTCAGGATGGCCGGTGTCTATGTACTTTTGGCTTTTGTACTACTGGTATTCGTCGTGGGTACTGTACTGATGATCGTGTGCTATCAACGATCCAAAAACAAACAACGAAAAGAACTACGAGAAGCTACCGAATATAACGGTTATGCTGGTTCTCAGGTGAGCACTTCTCTCTTGCCACTCAAACCTTTCAAGGAGTAAGAGTATTACGCTTGCCTCCATCCTGCTCTCATCTCTTTCTTCAAATGCCCGTGTCGTCCACAGTACAAGTTTATCCCTCATTAGTGAAGGCTTGTCCCTAGGTCCATATTGTCCTGAGCTATGTGTTTGATTTCGATTAGGACTTCCAATTTGACAACGTAGTTATTAGTGATATAAGAAACTTTACGGATTATGGGCGTAGTGACACTTCGTCGAGCATGGATTTCAGAATGTCCTGCCTTCACGGAACCATAACCTACACCAACTGTAGACCAGCCTGATGAGATGCCCTGAATTGCTCCTCACCTAGACCATGTCTGTTTCGGGTGGAAGGGCATGCTCCATAGTATTGAGAGGGTGAGAAACAGCTGCGCGGTTGGACACTACCTCGGCTTATTTAATTACGATTGAATCGGAATTTCGGATCCAATCCTGCTCAGAACAATCGCGTTCTATACTCTCCAGAGGCCTCTCGGTACCAGCCTTTCATAGAAAGACAAATTTCTTGAAGTCAAACCCGGTCTGCCACGTAATCACTTTAAAGACACAACGATTCGGAACAATTACAGTGTGCATGGTGGAATCAACGATACGTTTACATTCATCGGTCTTCTTTGTTTCATGTCCTGCATTCAGAGAGAACTATTAGACCTTCTCCGACAACCTTCCTATTTCAGCCCGGTGGAGTTGGTGCCTATTCGTCATATGGTGGACCTGCCTATTGATGACATCGCTGCCCTTTCAATACTACTTTATCGTATTATCTATCGCTGTTGTACCAATCACATCGAACCATTACGAGCGATGATTCGATGGCTTTCTTCCCACAAACGTGATGTACATATCGATTCGAATTTGTAATATTTTTATTGCTCAAATTAGCAAATGTTGTTCTCTGCCGATAAAGACTTCAATGACGTGTCACTATGACATATCGTGTATCAAATCTCTTCAATTCGCCATGAATTATACCAGTAGTTTTCACCGTAGGTTCTTTCCGGAAAGTAGTCTTGCTCGAAAGGAAAATGACGAACGAAGAATTCCGGACAGCGAATATGCAAGCTTGGAGAGACATAGGTGAAGGGCATAGTAAAGAGTGATAGCAACTAATAAAAGCTGATTAAGGACGTGCAAAGTTAGGATTCGCTGGATGGGATCCATAATTCTTGTTAACAGTGCCACATTTTTAAAGGGTAGCGACAGGTGCTGGGAAGAAGCCTTTGAAGTCATTGGACCCCGCTTTTTGAAAAGCGAAAGCTCCTACCGAAAAGCGATTGCCCCTACCGGAGTCAACATTGGAGCGGTAAGGCGTCGAACAGCGGAGGTGAATCGACTTTACCAGAATCAGGATTGGCCAGGGTTAGCCGTACCACGCTTTTCTAACTTTTCACAGCAAAGAGATGGCACAGAGACCCTAAGGGAGTAATGTATCATGTAATCGGCAATATGCTGCCAAGGTTTGGCAAGCACGAGTCGGTCAAGAGGATTCGGTAACCCATCGCGAAAGACGAAATCCTCGCCCATTGATGGGGAGCGGTCACTGTACTGCGACTTCCCAGTTCTCCTTGAGCGCTCAGGGAAAGTACTAATCTGATCGATTCAGATCGAACAATGCTAATGACGAACTCCATAGTACCACTGCCACAATAAAGCATGGCCGAGCTATGGATGTCGCAATTATAGCAATACGTACGGCTCTCCACTATCTCTTAGGATTTCCTCGTTATGATAGCCCATATCGGTAGAAGATAATGGGTTACCTCAGAGTATGGTTCATTTTTTTAGGCAGCATGGCAGAAAACGCGGTATGTTTGAAGCTTGTTGGAATCTTTCAGACTCTTTGAAGGGATCATTGGTCCCCCAGATGTGTCATCGGAACGACAATTTCCTGAATTCATGGGACGAACTTGAAACTTTGGGACTGAACATTTTCTCTCTTCACCATCTCCCTTGAGCTGAATTCAAGCAACCTACTTCATGAAAGGTGCAAAGAAAGGGTTCATAAGGGTACTGTCATCGTCCATTTGGGTATCTCCAACGAACCTAGGAGAGGAGGTACTCTGGGAAATCGTAAAAGTCTGGACGCTTTCTCAGAACTAGTTTTGGGAAGAATCTCGAGCAAATAAGCCAACCAAACCATATGCGTGGGATATGGGAACAGTTCAAACGAGGGCCAGGAGTCGCCGCGCCGGAACCAGTCCACCGCGCGCGGCGACTTCACGCATGCCTGGCAGGTTAACACGTGTTTATACACGTTTCTCCATGAGCTCGTTCCTCTAGTGATCCAGTATTTCAAGTTTGTTTGCTAATTGAGGTGTGTTGTCTGCGACATTACGGCCAGAACACATTATTTGACGAATCAATTCAATTCACGCACGTACTTCAAGGTAAACGCAGAAGGGTAGAGGGGTTTGGTAGAGGAGGGAAGTTCCATTAAATGGTGAGCACAGACATGAGAACACATTTCGGATCGAAATTATCCCAGGGCGAGCGAGCCATTCCTCCACCCTTAGGGTCTGAGCATTTGATACCAGACTTATCTGTGAAGGTAGAAACACTGACTTGTAGATCGGTCAGCAAACCCAAGTCATTGCATACGCCGCGTACGCATTCAAACGTCAGAGCGATTCTGAATGGAAGTCCAATGCGGAGGCGCATACTAAAAACGGGATAGGCCAGTGCCAAAAGGCGTTGAGTAAACTTCGAAGTAGATCTTTATTGCTAGTCTTTTTTGATGGAGATATAGTTGGTAGTAGAGGATACCAACCTACTTTAACAATAGGCGTCGGAACACTGTGGAGGAGGGTAAGCATCTCTGCGGGCCCTTAATGACGCTCTGTGCAAGAATATTATGGTAGCACGCTATCGCTTACACTTTTGAAAAAAAAAAANAAAAAAAAACGAATTAGTGGCCAAATGTCCCTAATCTCTCCGAATGTGAAAGGTGCTTTAAGGAGCTCCTGTGACGATTGCTGTTACCCATTATTTCAGACTGAAACCGAGTTCCATGCTTTTGTGTTCCCAGTCCTGGCGCTGATATTGGGATTGATTCTCGACGAAATGAATAAACGGATAAGCTTTCTTGGCATCCCGGACAGTGTGCTCCAGTTCCTCATAGCACTTTTTGCAAGGTAAGTAATAGAACTTTGGAAAAAGACTGGGACACAAAAATTGAAGGATAAAGGTGTCACACTGTCCATTTTCGTGTGGCGCGTGGAGAAGGTTGTCGTGGTCCCGTCGGGAAGATTACGGCACACTGAAGATTCTCGACTTCGTGACGGGTAGTAAGGGTCTACTCTGGCCTTTCATTCACTCAAAATGAGTGTTGTAATCCAAGACGCCAGCCTTCGTCCTGCATCTCCTATCCTTTCTCTTGTTCTCATTCGCCGCTTATATACCCTTGTTTGTGATCCTCCAAAAATCGCCCGTGTTGGCCTCCCCACGACTTCGCAGCACAGAATATCAGCTACGGAGCAACAACACCCAACTATTTCAGTTTTGCATTCCACAAATTTCTTCCTGCACAAGTTCTGGTGGAGCTCACCGATAAGTATTCTTGGACATCGCTTCATCCAGAAACGCTCCTGATGGTGATAGCTTTCAAGATTCGCTTTCTATTTTTCTCAGGAAGTTCACTGATGTGTTCCAGGTACTGCTACCTCCGCTCCTCTTTGAATCTTCATTCAAAATAAATTCACATTTGTTCTTCTCCAAGATCTACCTCATCACTAGCTTGACGGTGGTAGCGTATTACGGTACACTACTCATTGCTAGTGCAATTATGCTGCCACTGTTAACTCAGACTCAGCAGCTGAAGAGATCCGCGGTAAGTACTCGACCTAGTGACGTATTGAACTCCCAGACGAGTCTGGTACTAATCAACGACCCCGGAGGGATGGAAGGCTTGGTTGGCCTAGACGGCTATCCATCCGGAATTCGAACTCATGACCATGCATTTGTGATGATGCGCCACTTGCCACTACACCACCTCCGCCCTATATACATTTTAGTCTTGAAGACTTCATTTTTGAAGTTTCTGCAAAGTCATGATATCTAATATGAGAATGCCGATCCGAAACCAGCAGTAGGCTCAAGCGTGAGTCGATCAGTCCAGAACAATTTCCAGGTGTTCCTTTTCACCTCCATAATTGCGGCTACTGATCCGGTTGCTGTCGTATCGATTCTGGAACAATATGGTGCTCCTCATCGACTTCGGATTCTCATTGAAGGCGAATCGCTACTTAACGATGGGCTAGCCTTATTTACTTACAGAGTATTGGCAAGTTGGTTAGAGGTGTGTACTCAGTCTGGCAATTATAAGAAGCATTTTTTGACACATTCTCTCCTCTATCATTATGCCATCCATTCAGCTCCAAATAATGCCCTATTAAGGTCGAATTGGGATTTGCCAAGTATCGTTCCCTAGTAATGGGAGCGGCTGGTGCACGGGTTGTGGCCTGGATCATCTCGAAACTTCAGCAAAATAAAAAGCGACAGGTCTATCAGTCTAGCTACTAACTTTTTTGTTGGAATATATCCGAAGCAGTTGCCGAGGAGCAATTCTCGTTCAGGCATTCATTCTGGTGTCCGTCTACGGTATGTTCATGTTGTGTGAAGTATGCTCCGCTTCACCAGCTCTTGGCTTGGTCGTTTTTGGGGTCATGCTTAGCTCATACAGGTAACATTGAATTCATGCAGCGATTAGTCTGACCGACAGGACCTTTTAGAGACGCCAAAAAGCAAATAGTACAGGACAGTAGCCAAACATGTGGGTGCGATTTCTAAGGCTGTTGTGCACTGCCCTCGTACCTGGAGGGAAAAATAAGCTAGGAAGCGCTTGATATGACCCCAGAGATCTCACCCACTACATCGCCCATCTATCACAGATAGGTTTCAGCAAATGAATTTTCAGAGAAAAGTTCGCCCCTGAGACCACGGAAATGGCTCTGGAGCTTTGGGCCGCCATGGGCTATTGGGCAAACAATGTGATCTTCATCTTCGCCGGCTTCAGTGTCGGATTGGAGATATTCAGTCGCAGCGAACATAACGTATACCGTCAGGTAATACGGTAATTGTACCTACAGTAATCTCTGCCACAGACATTCCTTTGTTGTTCAGATACACGGAAGTAATTACTTCGAGATTGACATGGAAGATATGGCGGTGATTGTTGAAGGAATGCTGCTGTCACCTATACCTCTTTTTGCCAGGATTGCTTCCATATATCTATTCTACAAAGTTGTAAAATCAATTACCGATCAATAACAATTGATAATCGATCTATTCCAGTTTTATGGCCTACTCTCTTCACAGCCAATTCCGCCACGGACCGATTTCACCATTCTGGCCTACGCTGGTCTTCGTGGCGCACTTGGATTGATATTAGCTATGGAACTACGGAATGCGGTAGGAAAAGAAGCTCACAATAATTACTGATTGAGGATTACGGTATTCGCAGTTCGATTATTGATTAAAGGTCACGGTTTTTTAGTTGGGAGGCGAGCCAACGAAGAAGATTCTGTTGCTGACCTGTTCGACAACATTCGTCTGTCTGGTCTTTCAGGTACGTCAAAGACAAATGAGCAGGCATACTGTAGGCGTACTGTAGGTGTACTGTAATTGTGGGTTCTGTATTCTAGGGCATGACGTTCTCAAGTTTTGCTACAAGGGAAGGATCCACGAAAAGGTCCAAATACGTGAAAGACACATGTGTTCGGCTATGTCG